AGAAGCCCATCAGGCTGAGTCCTGACAACTGGAGAGAAAAGAAAAATGAAGCCACGATGATCAGTCCAGAGTAGTACTTGTAGGTTACAATGACAGGCCAGTTGCCTCAGTCAGGCTGGCTGAGCCAGCATGAACCAGGGTCAGTGGTTATTAATCACTTGTCAAAGTCTGCAGGGCTTTACCATCTAATTATAGTTATAAGTATGTTTATATCACACAAACATGTAGCAAAGTGGCAAAGGATGCAAGCCTTCACACAATCGTGGTGACATTTGAAAAATCTACAGATAAGTGATAAATCATAAAGCAAACACTTCAGAAAACCATGCCATTCATTACTGTTTGGGCATTCGGGGATTATTTTCTCTCCTGTTTATTTCCATAAACATTTAGAACCTTACGGAGCCTCTGACCACCTTCCCTCCTCCTCCTAATTTTCCAAAGAGTTGTAAAAATAGCAAGTATAATCACCATTTGAAATGAAAGACTGGTTATCGACTCCATCCATATGAACAGACAACCAGAATGTAATCACAGCTTATTTTATAAAACCCATTTCTGAACAAAAATATCTCGAGCTGTTCTGAAGAATCTACATAAACACATAAATGGATGTGCCTGAGGGACAGCTCTAAACCCCACAAACTAATAGATGGCATTTTCAAAGAAACGACTTAAGGCTGCAAACAGCATCCATTTTGCTCCATTTGGCAGCATGTAGGTTTACATGCTAGGAGACATTTCTCAACAGGAATGAACTGTGAAATTGTTTCCTCCTACCCAACATGCTTCTAAATTGTATTAGATTATGTTAGCCATTTCTGCACCTTGTCATAGAGGCTGTCAGTGCCCCACGAGGCAGTGTGGGTGGACACTGGAGGCAAGGGCCCTGGAATCTGAGACGCTGCCGAAGTATCAGTCAGCATGTTATGCAAAAATAATAAGAACGATTAGACCCAGGCCTAACAATGCAAAGGGAAATGGCTTTGTTGCAAATCTGCACACCGGGCGATATGATGAGGTAAACCATGTGGATTTCAATTCCTAGACTGTAAACTTCTCGGGAAATGATTACCATTGTTTCCCACCTCCATCCAAAGTCAAGCATCACCCTGTGAGCACAAGTGGATTCTTTGACTCTGAGGAAAACAATCTATGAATATATGCCGTGTTTTAGTTATTGGCATCTTAGCGTCAACTCTTCAAAACCCAAATTTGCCTGCTTTGTGAATTGCATGCTATCTTTAACTTTAATCATAAACACATAAAACTAAGAAGGCAATTATGTTGCAGAAGAAAAATCTTCCCAGAGCAAAATGTAAATGAAAGACTTTGGGGATATTGGTTGTTCTGTGACATTAATTAAGCTAACTGGAAACTGACACTCTTAAATATATGTATGTATGTGGACATGAGTACGGGTACAAGTATGGGTGTGGGTACAAATCTTAGTTCTCTGGAGTAGTTGTAGATACTTCAATGAAGCTAATGTGGCCACTTCCGCTCCCACAGGGCACCAGCGTGCTCTCCTGATAGACCTGCATGCACACATCTTCATCCCCATCATGTCTGCGTTGCTCTGATCACAATAACACTTAATTCAGGAAATCAAGAGACTACCTGCCTCTTACGTGTTCAGAGCCTCCGCAGGCAGAACTTTCAATCCAGAATTCAGGTTAGATGCTTGTTTATCCAAGGGGTAGACTTAGAGACTTATCTTTTCATTTCTTATATTTTTTTCGTATTCATTATCAGCATCTTTTAAATTTAAATTTTAGAGTTCTGTGTTTTAGGATCCAGGTGTGGGATACTATTTGTAAGAAATACAATAAATACATATCTTAAAAGAATCATAGTTTTCAGTTTTAAGTTAACTTACATGTATTACATGATTCAATTTATCCCATTTTTATATGATGATCTATGTTGACCTCATAACTTTATCATTGTCTTTATTTATGGTCCAATGATGTCTTTCTGCCAATTCTTTCAAGCTGCTGGATTTATGGAGCCAAGAGCCAAACCACATAATCTGCAAGTTTTCTGAACAGCTAAATAATAATTTTCTAGGAAACTGGGTGGATAACCTGCTGGCAAATGGGATTGACAGCATTTTATTTTTTGCTTTGGAATTTGGCTTTTTACTTTACTGTGTAAAAATGTAAATTAATTTTCCCTAAATGAATGAACATTTGATTGGCTAAATAAAATGTGCTGTCTGGTTGGTGAATTTTCTTATATTCTATCTTTGGGAATCAAATATTAAAAGAGATATTTAAAGTTACATGGTATTACATAGAAATATTAACTAATCCAACATTATGAAGTATGTTTTCTATGTAGGGCAGTGTTCCCTCTGATGGTGGAACTGGGTTTCATATGTAAAATCCATAATGAGTCTCATGAAAGTCGCAGAATCACGAAGCTGGAAGTGACCTGAGAGAACATGAAACTCAAATCCTTTCCTTTACACATGAGGGTGTTCATATTATTGGTGAGGTCTGGACAGGTTGAGAGGCTTGTCTGAGATCAGATACTGGGTTAGTAGCAGAATTAGGACGGGAATTGGGTCCTCTTTCTCCTCTTATCAAAACAAAAGGCTCCACTCTCTAACATGTCTGAACTATCACATTCACTTGTTCAGATTACAAACCCTGACTTTGTTATAATTTGGACCAAAGCTGGATTTCCAAGTACCTTAAAAGTTTACTCATACACAGATAAAAAGAGCTTATGAGCTGAAAGATTGTAAGAGACATATTTACATGTCAAGAGACAACAGATTTTAAGAATGTTAAAACACCTTTTTATATACTCTGAAATTACAAACTCAATTTTGAACTCCTTATTTTATCTATTTATGATAGTCGCAATTCTCCCTACTACATAACATGAAAGAATGACCAGATCATGTATATAGACCAGGAACACTTAGAAGTGATTACTAATAAAGAACATTTACTCTACCTCTGTTAATATTCTGGGCACCATTAAAAGTCCCATAAAACATGTAGGTGGTCTCCTGGCAGCCATGTTAGTTTTACATGGCTGGGTTGGCTGTTCATTGTTGACTGGACCAAAAGTGGATACTTGGCCCAAGCTAGGCCAATCACATTCTCTCTCCTGGAAAGTAGGAACTGGGATTCAGACATAGCCTGTCAGGCTCGGCATGTATTTTGAACTGTAATACATAAACTCAAGAGCTGTCAGACAGCCATATGTTGACTGGAAACAGAAAGCTGGTGCTTAGAGAGAAGAATGGAACAGACAGGAAGAAGCAAGCAGAGATGGAGTGAGGATACTGCCTGGCCGCCTCTCAGCATTCTGGTCTGTTCCCTTCCTGAGGCCTGGCTGCCCTTGCGTTCCAGGGGACAGCCCTGTATTCGTTTTAATTTTTTATTTTTATTTAAATTAGTTAACCAAGATATAGTAAGTACATTAGTTTCAGATGTAGAGTTCAATAATTCATCAGTTGCGTGTAACAGTGCTCATCACACCACGTGCCCTCCTTACTGTCCATCACCCATTTACCCCATCCCCACACCCACCTCCCCTCCCAGCAACCCTCAGTTTGTTTCCTATAGTTGAGAGTCTCTCATGGCTTTTTTCTCCCTCTCCGATGACTTCCCATTCTGTTTTCCCTCCCTTCTCCTATGGTCCTCTGCCCTGTTTCTTATATTCCACATAGGAGTGAAACCGTATGATAATTGTCTTTCTCTGATTGACTTATTTAGCTCAGCATAATACCGTACTCCAGTTCCATCCACGTCGATGTACATGGTTAAGTATTCATCCTTTCTGATGAGCCCTGTATTCTTATTTAACAAATCCTTCCTGTCTTTCTCTGTCTCTGTCTGTCTCTCTTTTAAGACTAGTTAAGTTGTTTTTGATATGTTCAACTATAATTCAGACACTGTAATAAATAACACACTCTAGGGGTGCCTGGTGGCTCAGTTAGTTCGTCTGCCTTTGGCTCAGTTCACGATTCTGGGGTCCTGGGGTCGAGCCCCGTGTGGGGCTCCCTGCTCAGTGGGGAGCCTGCTTCTCTCTGTCCCTCCCCCTGCTCGTGCTGTCTCTGTCTCTCTCTGAAATAAATAAAATCTTAAAAAAAAATAAATATCGCACTCTAGAGCCAGAGCTACACTACTCTCACTGGTGTTTTGGTCCGTTTTATGGGACAACCCACAGTGCAGGTGAGAGAGCTGGACAATGAGATGCATTTACAACCACTAATCCTGCAGATGGAGCTCAAGATAGACTGATTTTTAATAAATTCCTAGTATTTAATAAATTGTAATAAAATGATACTGATTTGTACTGATAAACGAATTTATTTTTTTAGAAAACCATATAATACTACACATATTTCAAAACACAAATTCCAATTTGCTTGTCTTTAGTGAGCCTAAGATAATGAGATTTTTTCTATGTTGATGAATGACTCATAATGCCAATGACATTTTTGAAATAATGAAAGAATTTTGGGATTAACTTTAGAAATTTTGAAAAAAGAGAATGGCCTTTGAACTGATATAAGCTATCTTGATAAATTTAAAGGGACCAGATAATACCAAAAAATTCATGCCTAAAATGTACTAAACATCACACACCGATTAAAATGAAATGCCTATGCAAATAGAATAATATGGAATAAATTAACACTTGAAGAGAGCTTGCTGAGTGCCAGAAACTGTGCTATGAATTTTTCCTGTATTCATTCATATGATTATCCCAAAAGAGCAGGGGGTAATTATTATGCCCGGATGACCCTGAATTAAATGGCTTGCTCAAAGTCCTACAGCTAGTAAAAGGCAGAGGTGCCATTTAAACCTAGGTAGACTGTTAACCACCATACCACAGTGATCTAAATAAGAAAAGTAGACTGAACTAAACCTTCTAAAGAAAAGAACTTTGGAAGCTCTTTTTTGTGACACTAAGAAAAATGCACAATCTTTTAAATAATTAAGAAAAAAGATACTTAGCTTATTAATGATTCTTACCGGGGGTTAGAAGGAGAAGGTGGATTCATTTCTTTCTGATAGTGACGACCCTGGTTGACAGGCTGTAAAAAAAGACAAACCATTCGTGAGGTGCTAACCAGGGTAATGCTCTTTACACACACTTTCCCATGCACTATCGTTGCTGTCATTTTTTCCTGAGGAACAATCTGCAAGAAGGGGCTGTCTATTTCACTGAGGACCTACGGGCTGTTTGGGAGATCCAGCATAACAAGGTGGTACACATGAGAAAAAACAGGTTATTTTAATGGCCAGTCACTGCACAAGATAGCATCTATGGTGCAATTAAAGTTCATGTGTGGACCTTCCTCCTTGTGGAGTTTTTACACCATTAACATTCATTGATCTTTCCAGCTACAGTAAAATAAAAGGTATCTCATGGAGCTAGTGCTGCACAGCAGGTATCAGCAGTAACTCAGAGACCCAGAGACAAGGATTATATATTTATATCTCCACGTCAGGAAGTTTGCAAGGATAACTTGCACTTTCGCTAATGGAATTACACATGTAAATCTCAGGTGAAAGTGGTCATTTCCCCAAGTGTATAATAAAACCTCAAACATTAATCAGTGAATTGAAAAAAATGGTGCCAGTCCCTAACAAAAATGTGAAATCTCAACTTTTGCCTCTGCGAGGAACTTTTAAGTTACTGTTTCAAAACACCGCTAAACAAATGTCCACAATAGCCAAACTGTGGAAAGAGCCAAGATGTCCATCGACAGATGAATGGATAAAGAAGATGTGGTATAT